TGTATCATGAATACGAAAGGAATAATACTATATTATTTAATTTTCCCGTTTTATATAATATAAAAATTTTAAAATGTCAGAGATTTAAAAGCTTTTGCCTAATTATAAAAAATTTTGAAAAAAAAAATAAAATAATAAAAAAACCTTCCCTAAACACCTTTAATTACTTTAACGTGTATAAATGAAACATAAAATATATTTTAAAAAAATTATATTTTAAATGATAAAAATAATTTTAAAAATTCTTTTTTTATATATCTATCAATTCTCGTGACTATTTAAAAAAAATTAAAACTTCTCACTTTGTTAAAATAAAAATAGTAAAAATTATATAATTTTACATTTAATATAAATTTTTTTTTTTATATTTTAGACAATTTGTAACAAAATTGTGGTAAAATGTTTAGATAAAGAACAAAGAAAGAAATAACCAAAATAAAGATACAAGTAACGAAAATAAATTACTAAAATTTTAACACGACATTCAATCAATTTTAACGAGAATATTTTTTTATAAAAAAATTTTGTAAATTTTATTTTTTTAAAAAATAAGAAAGGATAATATATTCCATTAGGATAATTAAAAATATATTAAAAGTTAAAAATAAAAATAAAAGAAAGATTTAATAAAATACCAACCTTTTTTATACAGTGTTTGTAATGCTCTTCAAGATAAAAATGTTCAAAGATTTTGATCTCTGTAAGTTTTTTTTTTTCAGTTGTTTAAAATAATATTTTGAATGCTTGGAGAACAAGTTTTTTGAACAAATTTTACCTATAAAAATTCCAAGATAAATTTTTGTGATTTTTATGCATTATTTTTTCGACATAAAATCACAAGTTTTTTTAAAAAAATAAATATGATTTTTGAACTTCTTAAAAATTAAAATCTTTTTAAAAAAATCTTATTTTATGATCATCAAAGATTTTTTGCTCAAATTTTTTAAAATCTAATTTACAAATGTTATTCTTCCTTTAATCCTTCCTTCCTTCCTTCCTTCCTTCCTTCCTTCCTTCCTTCCTTCCTTCCTTCCTTCCTTCCTTCCTTCCTTCCTTCCTTCCTTCCTTCCTTCCTTCCTTCCTTCCTTCCTTCCTTCCTTCCTTCCTTCCTTCCTTCCTTCTATTTTTGTATTACATTAATTTTTATATTGTTATATTAATAAATCATTTCCGCTCTAAGAAATTTCTAGCAAGAAGAATTATTATCCATTATATTACGATACATTTATTACTAATAATCTAGTATTTTGTTATTTAATGTTATTACATTACCAAAAAAAACTAGATTAGTGTGTAACATTTGAAGGCAAAAAATTTGCGTTAGAATTCTATCCTAAATTTTGCTTTAGAACGGTTCTAGTCTATGTTCCCTCAGCTCCAAGAGTCTGCCCTTAAAAAACCAGACCATAATATGTATTGTATATTATCATAACGCCAGAAAATATTTACATATTTCTAATGATTATATGATATAAATGTAATGCACTAAGATAGAGTAGAAGTGTAATACTTTCCTTCTTTAAAACAATTTTTTATTTTATTTATTAAAAATCGATTTCATTAACCATTTACATTAAAAATTTTTTTTAAATATTAAAGTTAACTTTAGATATATTTTTTATAAAATGAAAATAATAAAGATATCAAATAATTATATTTTTATATTTAAAAAAAAACTATATATTTTGAATCTAGATAAAAAAATGGGGAGAAAAGGATCTCAAGATTTAGCTAGTCAGGATTTAGTTCAGAAAAATAAACCTCTTTTTAAAAAAAGGATTATTTTGAGAAATAAAATATATCAAAGGGACATTTTTTTTCGGAGAGTATCGTGATTTAATTAATTTCTTATACAAGGAAACACCGATAATTATTTTTTTAAATTCAGTTGTTGGCCCTCAAATATCTTTTTTTTTAAAATTATTATAAGATTTTGAAACAATTCATCACATTAACACATTCGTGAACTTCTTGAAATATTATTTTTTATACAGGAATGAAAAGAAATGATAATAATAGTTTATTTTATAATCTAAATTTTCATATATACATAATATATGTATGTGTGTTTGTGTGTAGAAGGAAGGTTCAACTTGAAGGAGATCTTTTAATTGAATGAAATGCATTCAAAATTAAACAATTATCTAAAGTAGTAAGGAGTAAGATTAAAGATTAAAGAGATATGGGGTTAAGGTCGGTATCATCACTATCCTTTAAATTACATTTAATTTTTAGATTTTCAAAATGATCCTTTTTTTTAGCTAACATTTTCAAAATGATCCTTTTTAGGGGCTCAATTAATTTTTCAAGGGGCTTGAGCCTCATTATTACCCTCCCCCCCCCTCTAGTGATGCTACTGGTTTTTGATAAAATTATATCATTTTTTTCATAAATAAATAGATATATTAAATCAGCTGTTGTAACGGAAGACCATAATCGTATGTGTATTTATATATATATATATATTTAATGTGTCAATAAGTGGCAACCAACAAGGGGGAGAAAGATAATAAGAAAAGTCTATTCAGATAGATACCTTTGAATGTCTTTACTTACCTATCCGATCCCAATCCGTTCGTTTATTATTATTATAAAGAGGTATATTATCTTATAATTATAGAATTTCATATATTATTCGTCTAAAGCTTTTTAGTATATTTCTCTTTATTTGCTTATCTTTTTTTTAAGATAATAAATGAATCTTATCATTCTTTATTCCTGAAATAAGTATTTGAATTTGTTTTTACTTTAAATAATTAGTAAAAAATTAGAAATTTATAAAATACTATACAATTAAATCTAATTATTTCCTAATTTTATTCTATAACCCAAAAAAATTTAAATTTTTTTTTTGTAGTTTCTCTTTTTTTAAATTATTCACTAACAAGAAGGTTTCTTTTAATTAAAAAAAAGGTATTAGTCAGTGTTGTTAAAAGCTATTTTTAAAAGTAGGCGCTATAGTTGTCCACTATCTTACAAAAAAAAGTAGCGACTTATCGCTAACCTAAGAAAGAAAGAAAGAAAGAAAGAAAGAAAGAAAGAAAGAAAGAAAGAAAGAAAGAAAGAAAGAAAGAAAGAAAGAAAGAAAGAAAGAAAGAAAGAAAGAAAGAAAGAAAGAAAGAAAGAAAGAAAGAAAGAAAGAAAGAAAGAAAGAAAGAAAGAAAGAAAGAAAGAAAGAAAGAAAGAAAGAAAGAAAGAAAGAAAGAAAGAAAGAAAGAAAGAAAGAAAGAAAGAAAGAAAGAAAGAAAGAAAGAAAGAAAGAAAGAAAGAACAAAAATGACATTTCTAAAAATTACTTTGTTAGAATGTTAAGGTTCTTGCTTTCTAGATTCATTTTCATGATATATATCGCTAGCTGAATATTATAGTATTCAATATCCACTTCTTTTCCAAAATACATCCCCTCTCCCTTTCATATAAATATATCCTTCATTATTTATATTCTTCCGTATCACCAATAAAAATTAAATTTTAAAGAACAATTTAGTGTTTTTTTAAACGACCCCGATATAGATTGATTGAGATACTAGCCAAAATAATATTATGTAAGCCTCAAGATTTGGCGATTAGAGGTCAAAACTCTTCTGTCATCTATGAACAAAATCTCCTGGGCTTACATAATATAATTTTGGCTAAGATCTTAATCGGGCTCTTTTTAAAAATCAACCTAAAAAGGGGGGTCCTTTAAAAACACTATTGTCAACCCCCTATTTAAACTACAATAAATATTATTTTTTAAAAAGCCCTACCGAAAAATTTATATTGATTGTCCATGTAGTAATATATATACATTAGAAGTAGTTCTAAAGTTCATGGTGAAATTGGCTGAAATTTATAGGGTAAATACTCTACACATGCTAGAATACATTTCCGGTAAATCAGATTTTAAAAATTTTTAAATCGCCCTCGGTAAAGGATTTAAAATCAAGAGATTCCGAATCCCCGTACGACATATGTATAATTTGTAGATAATTAAATTATTATCTCCTAGGAAAAATTTGGTAATTTTTTTTTTTTAAACCAAAACTAACAAAAACCAATTATTTATATTTAACTCTTTAAAATAGTTCTTAATAATTATAATGAGTGTTTTATTATAAATGATTATAATATGCGTGTTATAAAAACGTATATAATATTGTTTGCACGGTATATTTCCTACACCTTGCCTGTTGTCTATTACATTATTATTTGTTATATAATTAGTGAGCTTTTCTGGGGAAAATAAAATTAATCCATATTATGCGCCTACATATACTTGTATCTCATAATCTATCCAGACAATGGATTTAATAACAAAAATAATTGTTTTTTGGTGCGCATAAAAACCAGTAAGATGTATCCTAGTATCTACTTATTAATAAACATAGCTTCGAGTTCGGCTAAATAGCATAGTTGGGTAGCTAAATGTTCGCTAATTTAGCTCGATCTTCCGACGCCTGCCGAAGAAAATCCGTTAATATTAAGACGTCTTAATTTATATTAGTCTCAGCTGATATCTTAGGCTAAATACTTGGATTAGTCCTAAAACAAACCAAGTTGTTTAACCTAGAAATAAACAGAAATAAGTTTTCTAAAATAGGTTAAATCTTATTTTTTTATTATAATTTTTTTATTATATAATATATAATATATATGTTGTAATTTAATTAATTCGAACGAGTATTTTAAATCAAAAATCTAATAGAAAAGTATTTTTTATCTTTAAATATAATTTTTCCTTTTTATAAATTAATTTATTTTTGAACATTTTAATTATCTATTTAAATTTTATCCCTACAAGATTTATTAATTTAATAGCGTAATCTGGTATTTATTATTATATTGAAAGTGTAGAGAGCATCGCGTGTAATTCATATTTTTTTGTGTGCGAAATAAATTTTTTAAGGTGTACAGCATCGAAAAATTATATCGACATTTAAATATTTATATAATATTTTTTTATAAAGAAGAAGAAATAATTAAATATTAAAAAAATTTAAATCAAGCTAAAACAGGCTTAGTGAATCAAGTTACATTTTGAGGACAGATTTCTAATTTGTATATTTACAAAAAAAAATTCAGATAATATTTTCGCCTTTGCCACGAGTTCCTTTTATTTTACTTCGATAACCAATAAGTCTTCATCACACCTTTACCCTAAATAATATTTTATATATATTTTTTTTTTGGGAAAAAAAAATTTTAAATTAATTCGCTTCCAAAGTCGACATTGAAATTTGTGAAATCAATTTTGGGCTCATGATGTATTAATGGGCAAATCTAGTGTTGCCAACCGACCCCGATTTGGGTTGACTTTTTAAAAACGGCCCGATTAAGATTTTTTTCGCCCAGAATAATATTATGCAAGATCAGCTTGGGACCTCTTTTCGCCAAATCTCGAGGTTTGCATAGTATATTATTTTAACTAAAATTTTAATAGAGACGTTTTTAAAAATCGATCAAAATTGTGGTCGTTTAACAACACTTACGAGATTCATGTTTTTTTTTAAACTTTCGAGGCACCCTTTAGAATTACAAAACAAAACCTTTTATCAATTTCATTTGGCTTACATTTTTTCTGAGAAATATAACCCCCCCCCCCCCCATTCCCCTCACTAAAAAATTCGTAATAACGCCATGATAAAACTATTTGACTACTTATATGCTCATAATCTTACCGTTTATTGAAGATTGACTCAAAATTATTTTAAGAAAGTCTTAAAGATGCCCCATAGTTTTTAATCCTAAAAATAAATATTTGTGAGAAAAAAAAATGGTGCGCGCACCCTGCTTACTTTAATATTGATTTCCCCTCTGAGTTCTGTAACAAAGGTGTCCTGGAATTTGTCGAGAGCCATCTTAGTCTGCTCACTGATATGAATCCTTTGAGCTTTTTTTTGTATAAATATGTTTGTTTTAATAACCTTCTTGAAATTAAGTAAACAAAAATCAAACGGGCAAGAAATATTGGTTTGTTATCATAGTGTAAAAAAGCGAATAAAATAAGTTGTCGAAGAAACGGAGGAGTGAAAAATTCATTATTAATTTAGGGTAGATTTGATTGGTCTAGATAAATTAAACATTCACATAACCAGGTTCGAATCTTTAGAAAAAAATGTCCGACTTGGTCATGTCTGTATAAATAATTTACGGAATTCTGGGCTGGTTCCATACAGTTAAAAAGATTTGTAAGTGGAAAAAACGAGAATGGAGTTGAATTAGATAAAAAACGAGAAAGGGAGGTGAATATTTTAGAAGTCGCTCACGCCTATGATTTATGGTGACCAGACCAATAACTCTTCTTATTTATTTATTTTATCAAGAAGGATTCCCTTATAATATTTAGGAGTGATAGTAAAATGCCATCTCATATTTTGAAAAGCTTTTAAATGAAGAGAATGATAAAGATGAAGTTAAAAAAATATAAAGATATTTATTATTTCGATGAGGGAGATAATAAAAAAGTGAGAGAAAAAACTATGCAGAACACCTATCTGTTGTAGTGGTGATATTTATATAATCACGATATGGGTGATCAAGTCAATGAGAAGAAGAATTGAATTTTCTTTGTTAAATGATTATCTAAATAATAACAAAGTAGTATAAGCATATGTCTGGAGCATGATTTCAATCTTATGAACAATAAAAAGGCCTTAAGGAAATGATGGAGAAATAAGATAGCTGAGATGGATTCTAGGCAATTCAAGAAGAATCATATAAAAGTCGCGGGAATAGTAGATATACAAATAAACTAGATAGACTTTTACGATGGTTTTTTAAAAAGGAATTGATAGCAGAAAAATAATTGAAGATATTAATTAAAAAATTTGAGGAAATTAAAAGTGGGCTTAGAAGATAACGTTAAATAGATATCAATAAAGAAGAGTATATTTGCATTTTGGAAGGAATTCTGACTTTCTTAAAATGAATGGAGAGAAGAATTATGATTAAAAATCATCTAAGTGAAGAATAGAATTGGGGAAATTTTATAACTTTAAAAAAAATAATTAGCCTATAAATAAGAATTAAGTTTAGCCATAAAATAAGATCAAAGATCTTATAAATTATCTTTAAAATATATCTTAAATTTTTTTTAAAAAATATATCGCTATAGTTTATGCGTATAACTTAAAAATGTATAAAAATTAAATTTTTAACGCTCTTAAAAAGTATTCTGTGATCTAATTTGAAATAATTGACATTCAATAGTATATTTTTTTTTCTTCTTTTATTTTTGTTAGTCAGAAAGAAAGCAAAAAAGAAAGAAAGACATTAAATGAAATTATGAATAGAACTATTTTGAAAAATGTAACAAATTATAGAGAAATAAAAATAAATTTGATTAACACTATTCATTTTATATTATTACCCTGTCATAGTTTAATAAAATTGACCAACTAATTTTGTTCCTGGATTTAGAAATTAATGTTCTCAAATGTACGTATCCAAGATACATTATTGAAATTAGAAAAACAATTTGCATCAGATAACATCGTTTCACAAAGTTAGTGAGAGAATTCATGGGTAATTTCATTAAGCCAAGACGGGGTATAAATAAGGAATCTACGACTTATAAATTATATATATACTGGTATAAATCCCTAATTAAATATTGCCATAATTATTATTACGTTCTCCGTTAGACTCCATTCTAGATGCAGTGTTTACGGTGTCTCCGAATAAACAATAACGGGGCATTTTGACGCCTACTACTCCCGCCGCGCAGGGACCTTTTTTTCGAAAGAGAATTTTATAAAGAATATCTAGGAGGGAAATTCAATATAGTTTAAATAAACTAAATAGATGAGATGTTATATTTATTTTTAAGAGACCTTCATATAGACACCTGATTTCAGATATAATAATTAATCAACAAATAACAAACCTTTGCGAGGGTGATTTATCCATATGGAAGATATTATTATATTGCAGTATATTCCCAAAATATAATTTTCGTTTTTTACACGATTTCTTCCACAATGAACTTAATTGGTTCACTTTTTCTGGCCAATTATATTAAAGAATCAAAAGCTTTAATATTCAAATAAGGATTTTTCAAGCTACACATAATGGTTACCTTGAATCCTGTGTTAAAATATGGGCTAATGGTTTTTCGCAATGTAAGATACGAGTCATTAAATATTGGGTATTTGATAAATGTTAAACTTCCTAATCTGGTGGCATTAAGAAGCAAGAGGGAAAGTAGATAAAATTAATGGATAGGAGATAGTAAAAATTTAATATTGAGAAATGATAAAAATGGCTTCAAAAAATATAATTATTTTGTGACACCTACTGTGCTGTGATGCAATTATCAATGATTTATAATAAAGAAGAATAATTTTAAAAAATTTTAATGTCATTTTCAAAAGAAATTTGACTAATAATTAACTCCATTTTTATACTAATCAGATTTTCATTATGGATTTTTAAATATTATATTTTGTCATTTTATGACTTATCCGGCATTTTCAAAATTTTATTAATTTAAATACTCTTGTTCTATTTTTTAAAAATTGTTTTAAAAGGAAATTATAATTTTTGAAATATCAGCCAATACCCCACACCATTCTAAATTAAAAGATGGGCTATATAGTGGAAGTAGGTGCAGCCTATAATTAAATAAGATTGACTTTAAAAAAAATATACTATCGTTTAGGCACAAATCATATTTAGAAAAATATTTTTACAAAAAATTTGTTATAATATCAATTATTAACGAAATACAGAATGGGTTAAAACTTTCGTACCCCAAAATAGATACATTTAAATTAATTTTAAATGTTCACCTGTGTGTATCCCAATCCTTATTTTTAGATTTTCTTGGGGTTTATGCTTTATCTTGAATGTTGACATGGCCCGCATGATTTTCAAAGATAATTTGGCGATCTCATATGCATGCTTATTCTCGGTATTCTTCTTTGTCAAGCCGCCAGCAACCATGTAAGAATCTCCTATAGTTTCAACCTGTACAAGGAATTAATACGATTTTTCAAAAATGAAATAAAAGATTACTATTATTTTATATCTCTTAATTATGGATTTCCTTCACTTATTCCTTAAATCTATTTAAAGAGACCATAAAGCGAAGATGTATATTATAAATTATCCGATGTAGGGGTCCCGACATAAAAACTTGAAGGCGTGAAAACGTTATTAAACGAGAATGTCATTATTATATTGTAAAAAAAAATCTATTTTAAATTATGCCTATCATATTTCTCAGAAATCCCTTTCCTGTAAAAAATGACAAAAAATAAAGATATCTATAAGTTCCCTACACGATCCGATTCAAAGACCGTCCAAAATAACGGTTACATGATTATTCTCAATTTGGGCTTATGTTATTGTGAAATAATATCTTATATACAATGATAAATAATTATTATCAGCTTGGAATTGAACCAGCGAAACTTAATGAAATATTTATATATCTAGTTGTGCAAAATCCTCCATTTAAACCGATTTTAACGGTTAACTCAGTATTTTATCAAGAAAAATATTACGCTAGCCAGAAGATTTTGCTTCATAGATGCCACAAGGGTTTGGATATCTATTAGTGAAATCCCTAGGCTTAGGTAGTATTTGTCTAGATAAAATATTGATTTTGCCATTAGATTTTATATCACTATATATATATATTTATATATTCTACTTTTTAGCCAAGAATTTATACACATAACTTGTTTCGTTTTAATAGAAAGAGGATTTTTCTATATACCCTGCTTTGGGAATGATATTTCATAGGCTGAGGATTGTATCCATTTTTTTCAATTTTTCAGGGGAGAGTTTTTAAAAATTTGCCTGCTCTATTTACAGCATGTATGAATAGAAAAATATTCATTCTATTCTTATCTGATTGATAATGCTTAGAATAATGCTTAAGTAACTTATCATAGCTTGTCCTAAAATAATATTCTCAGAAAAACTATTGAAAAAAGATCTCAGAAAGAAAGAAAGTTAATATAGAAAATAAAAATATTCCATACCCAGCATTGAAAAAAGTAGCTTTTTTAAATGTATAAAGGAATATTTACGTTTTAAATGGACAAATAATTCTAGATATTTTTTCACATTTTTATTGTTGTTATAGAAGGAGTTAGAAGAACTGATTTAAAAAAAATTTGATAAAAAGTGGACATAGACTATTATAAGAATCAACCGAATATTTGTTCATGTCGTTGAATACTAAAAATAGTGTATTTTCAAAATAAAGGTATGGATTTTATGAGAGAGATGAATTATAACTCCACTAAAAGTGAAATAACAAAATTTAGAATAATTTATATATGCTAAACGCTATCGCGGTCAATATATAGAGATTTATTAAGATAATAAAGACTGTAGATAAAAGATGGGTGGCAGATAAAACTGGATCTGAACCTTCAATAGTTATAGATAGAAGTCAAACTGAATAGAAGATTAATTTTAAATTCTAAAACGTTTTTTAATATTTAATTTGTTTCTGTTTTTATGTGTTATTGCGCAGACTCTTGTAAGAGATGGACAAGAATGGGATGTCTTTTACTAAGCATTCTTAAAAAGGATTTCGGTCAAAAAATTTTATTCAAACCCTTCTCCCATTTTAAGTCTCAAGGGGGATCTAAGGAAAAGGCCAAATTTCCAGGAGTTAATTTATAAATGGTATATTTCTTAAATCTTGCTCTTAACTAATCAAAATCAAGATATATGCTATTAGTGATATGTTTTTTGTTCTTGACTGTAAATATAATATATATACAGAGTAAGGACATAACTAGGAAAGTTATTTTGCCAAATTAAACCAATGCATAGTGAAATTTCATATTTTATTTTACAAATTTTACTTTATACACATCGTATTCTTCTATAATCTCGTCGAAACAGGTGTACAAATCGTTCAAAAAATCTACTATCTATTTTATTTATTTTATAATTAAACATAGGTAAGTCATTTATTAGTCTTAGAAAAAAAATCTATATATATATATATATATATATGGAATGGATTCAAAATATTTATATTATAATATATCGAATTATGGGAAGGATGTTTAGTATTAAACTTAAAATTGATCTTTGTTTAACTCACAAAAATCGCCGTAACAACATTCTATTATCTATTAAATAATCCCATAGCCTGTCAGATCTCTAAGCGTATTAATCGAAACGATTAAATTTAATTAAAACCATTTTGCAATGTATCTTAACCCTAATAAAACCCATATCCCTCTAACATGATAATAATACTGTTCCTTATTACATCAGATACTTGTTTATTTTATCCAATTAAAAAAAAAATCATCGTTGAACATTCATTGAGTTGTGTCTACATCTCTTATTACTCTTAGAGTTCCCCGTTTTTATAAATTTTAACAAGTGGTTATTCTTAGAGATCTCCTAGGTTCTGGTGGTGATCGGGTTATATAAATTTATACCTTCTTTTTAAAAATGACTTTTCAATTTGCTTTTTAAATAGCCTATTCTGATTTCAATGTATCGGAAACTCGTGTATACCACGCACCGCAGGGAGTTTACCCGGCAGATTTTATAGTATATGCCCTATGTGTTTTAAAGTTTTAAAAAATAATACTATTTAGGTTTATTGTATTTGAACTTAGACAATTTCTGCAACTATAAAACAGTGGTATCATCTATAAACCTTTTTTCTAGAGTTAATATAGAAATCCATTATTGTATATTTACTTCTATCGGTGTGCTAACGGAAGATAAACTGGTGAATCCAACCACGTCACTAAAATATATGGTCACCTGTTTATATTGTTCGGGTACAAACGTTTGACCCTTTTTTAAAATCTCTGCCACTGATCTGTTTCATTTTTTTTAAATAAAATATATTAGTTACCATAAGAACAAGAGTATTTACATTATCCTTTTCCTAACTTATGTTTTTGAATATTTCCACTTTTTTCGTTCTTTCCTTACTGTATAAATTTAACAATTTTTTTAAGAAAAATGTAGGGTTGAGAGAGTCAGACAGTGTCAAACATAATATATTACACAAGCAGTTACTTAGGCAAAACTTGGTAGAGTATTTTTTCGGATCGCTTTTTTTCTTCCAGATAATCCTCCGTTCTCTCTTCAACCATGACCTCCAAACTGTTGGCGTATTTTTCCATCCTGCTTAGCAGGACCTCCATGACATTGTCGAAACTTGATAATTTAGAGTTATTGCTACTAACATTGTTATTTTGTTTAGCGTCGTTTCTCATTATGGACTTGAAAAGTGACTTTATACAAGGGAAAGTAGGCCTAGATTTGGAATTTTGGGCCCAACAGGCAATCATAAGTTCCTTAAGTTGCCTTAAAATTACGGCATTAGGGAGATCGCTATTTTTGATCTCGGCATCTACCATAGTCACATCGGGTCTTAGGATGGGCCCTGCGCTTTGTTTAATTTTTTTTAATAAATGGAAGATCCGATCAGCGCAAGACATCAGCTTATTAACATCATAACTCTGGGGAGTTTTAAAGGACTTTTTCCTTTTGAAAGTGGCCAAAAAATTTTCAGCACCGCCAGATTCCAACCTGTGGTTAGCAGGGCCCTTAAGTTGTTTATCATTTATGGCGGTGACAATTGTCGGTGACTCTATGTTGTAGGGCCATCGACATTTCGCTAATATTTGGTATAATATGATCCCGAAACTATAAACATCGCATCTTTGGAGAACCTCGAACTGTTCAGTTTTTGCCACTATTCCAATTTCCTCCTCCTTTAAGATTTCTGGAGCTTTCCATAAACCGTGAACAAGATGCCTCGCCAATAGGTTTAACAAGTCGGTCTTCCTATCCGAGATAAATGGGGGCACGATAGCTGTATCCTTTTCATTTCTCATCGATGAATTTTTGAGAGAAAGGTTAAATTCCTTCTTCTGATTAGAATTATCATAATCACGAGATATATGACAAAAATTGTTCTTATTTTCGATTTCTTTATCATTCGGATCAAAGTATTCGCAACATTGATAAGTAGGATAAAACCCAAAATCACTGATTTTTACGGTGAACCTCGAATCTAAGAAAATTTTTGAAGATCTTAATCTTCCGTGGAATTTAACGTCAGTCGCATGTAAATATGACATTCCCTGTAGCCAAATTTTAATATAATATAAATTTATAATTAAATATAATTGTATATGAGCAAATGGGGTGGTCTAGTGGGTTATGATGTAGGCTTGGAAACAGAAGGTCCCAGGTTCAATCCTGGTAAGGAACATAAAAATTTTTCTGTTTTTCTTCGACGACTGATGTGCAAAGACATATGATAAGATAAATTTCGGAGCTTAGAGATGACATCCCGGTCACACCGACAGGCTTGGACAGTGGGGTGCTAAGGATACTTGTCCAATAGACAAAAATGAAGGTAACAAATGAAAGTATGTATATGAAAGCTAAGGCGTTCCTTCCAAGCGAAGCGCAGGGTGCAGACCTCCATCCTGCGAAAAGTAATATAAAGGTCAAAGCAAAAAAGACGAGGTTAGCAAGTTTGAATATTGGTACACTTAAAGGTAAGACGAGAGAATTGGCATCAATGTTGAACAAGAAAAAAGTTGATATAGCGTGCTACAAGAGACTAAATGGAAAGTACAGAAGACTTTAATGTTGGAGATGAGTATAAATTGTACAATAACGGAATTCTTAGCAATAAAAACGGTGTCGACATTATCCTCAGTCAAGATCTAACCTCCTCAGTGGTAGAAGTTAATAGGATCTTGATAGACTAATGAAGATAAAACTCCGCATTGGTCAATCAATACTACACATCCTTTCAGTATAGGCTCCTCGAACGGGTTGCAAGGAAGAAGAGAAAGATGACTTTAGAGCTATCCTTGATGAAGCTGTAATGGAAATACCTAAGGATGACCTAGTCATAATAGGTGGTGACTTAATGCGCATGTGGGAAAAGCTAGAGTCAGCTACAGAAAGCATCATGGTGGTTTTGGATATGGAGAAAGAAATGCTGATGGAGAGCATGTACTGAAATTTGCGCAAGCCTTCGACCTTGCCTTAACCAACACCTAATATAAGAAAAAGAACAGTTATTTAATAACATATGAAATTGGTGCAAGGAAAACCCAGATAGATTACATCCTTTTCTCTCACAGAAGATTAAAAGATGTAATAGACTGCAAAGTCATCCCAGGAGAAGATAATTTACACATCACAAAGAAATTCACTCAAAACAAGATAAAGTTTGAACATGCATTAAATGGGGTAGATTAAAATCAATGACAGATGTCTTATCAATGCAAACATTGAAACAATAGATTCCTCACAAGTCAGTGAAAATATGTGGACAGACCTTTCATCCAGATTAATAGACACTGCCAAATCGACACTAGGCTTGACAAGGGGAGGCAACAAATCATACAAAGGACAATGTTGTGGAATGAAGATGTACTAACCACTATAAAGGCGAAAAAAGCCTTATATAAAATATGGTACAAATCCAAAACCCCAGATGACAAGACAAATTACAAAAAATCAAAGAGAATAGCTACAAAGGCGGTGGCTAGGGCCAAAGCTATGGCATACGATGACATGTATGAAGAACTACATATCAAAGAAGGGCAAAATAAAATATACAGATTAGCCAAGCAGCAAAAAAAGAATTCTAGGGATATAAGAAGCTCCGAAAGTAATCAAAAATAAAGATGGGAAATTGATAATAAAGGAAAAAGAAATAATGAATAGATGGAAAGAAAATTTTCACGAGCTTCACAACTTTAATCCCCACATATTACATCTAGACGAACACTCCCCATTCAAAACCTTGTACAACCTATAACAGAACAAGAAATAATCACATGCCCTAAGCATATGAAAAACAACAAAGCTAGGGGTCCAGACGATATTCCAATAGAAAGCCTTAAAGCACTAGGAGATGATGGAATACATCTCCTCACAAATCTGTACAATAAAATACTTGGAAATGAAGAGGTTCCCCAAAAATGGGAGGCAGAGCTATCTTCAAAAATAAAGGGGATCCACACAATTGTCACAATTACAGGGGCATAAAACTAATGTCACACTGTTTTAAACTCTACGAAAAAATAATAGAAAAAAGGTTAAGAGACATAATCAAAATAGGAGAGACTCAGTTTGGCTTTATGCCTGGAAGATCAACAACTGATGCTATCCACGCAATTAGGCAAATGAGTGACAGGGAAAAGAACAAAAAGCTACACATGGTCTTTCTCGATCTAGAAAAGGCCTTCGATAGAATCCCAAGAAAACTTATCTGGTGGGCGCTACGCCACAAAAAGGTTCCCGAAGAATAATACAGGATATGTATATGGGCCACACAACAATGGTCCGTAGCACAACTGGTACTTCAATAGGCTTCACAATAGCCGAGGGAGTTCATCAAGGGTCGGCTCTCAACCGAATCCTCTTCATAACAGTAATAGATGTATTAGCACAGTCTATACCAACAGTCCCGTGGAATATGATATTTGCAGATGATATTGTGATACTTGCCGAATCCAAGGATAAAATGAAAGAAGGATTAATGAGCTTTAAATATCCTTGAAAAGCATGGACTAAAAGTAATTAGAGAAAAGAAGAAGTATATAGTGATAGGAGGAGATGAAACAGAGAGCATCGATGTAAATTAATAACAGATATCGGCAATTGAAAGCTGCAAGTATTTGGGCTCCACTATACAAACAAACGGCACAATAGAGAAAGAGATATAGAGTAAAATTAATCAAGGGTGGTTAAAGTGGAGATCTTTATCTGAAGTGCTCTTTGACAAAAGAATCCCACACACATTGAATGGAAAAATTTACAGATTCATAGTACAACCAACTATTCTATATAGTTCGGAAACATGGCTAACCAAAGAAACAGACGAGAGAAGTCTACAAACTATGGAGATGAGAATTCCGAGGATGATTGCTAGGGTAACAAGAAGGATAAGGTGCGAAGTACAAAAATACTAGGAAGTTTATAGGTAGTTCCCATTAAGACTAAGATAATGGTAAACAGACTTAGGTGGTATAGGCATACAATGGAACTACATAGGAAATAAGGTTAAGAGTTTGGAAGTGATGGGTAAACGTAAAAGAGGAAGGCCAAAACTTCAATGAGGCCATAAAGTTAGAGCCAATATGAAGAAGTATAAATTAGATAAAAGAGATAGTATGAATAACATAAGGTGGAAAGAGATATTGAAGGAACTTAACTTACCACCAAAAAAGGTAAAAGCTAAAGAGGAAAAAAAATAATAAATTAATAATTGTATATAAGATAGCAACTCATAAATAACTAGTTACCCATGGAATAATATATATTTTCATTTTAAAAAAAATGGCGTAAATGTAAGTGTATTTGACAAATATATTTTGATGATAAAATTTTAAATTAATGTATATCGTCGCATGAGAATTAAATTATTCTATATCCACTTTTTGTAAATTTTTATAATTATACCATTCTATCTACATTTAAAAAAAGAAAATTGAAATATTTATAAAATAACTCAATTAAATCCCATACTAAATTAACATCCCAATTTAAAAAAAATAAAAAAAATAAATTTTTCGAGTATCCTTATTAAAATTTTTTTTTTATTATTATTTAAATCCATTGGAATTTTTATTTATTTTATTGTTTGTTTTATAACTTTTATTATGTCGTATAGGATGGAGTAAGTAAGCATCCACTCTGAACGAAAATAATCTTTCCCTATGACATCCACCAATTTTTTCCTACATACTAGATATTCATTAACGGCGTAGATTGAAAATGTCTCATTTATGCAGACTCCTATAAATTTGATCAAATTTTCTTGACCCACTTCTTTTAAATTAGTAGCGTCTTTTATGAGGGTCTGATCGATGTCCAACATGTGCCGCTTTAACCGTTTGAGCAAAACTGCTTTACCCTTGAAATCTCCTGATTGTATTTTTAACAGCAAAGAAAGATTAATTATGATAAAGATCAGCCAAAAAATTTATGTTTGACTTATAAATTGTAAATTTGGAAGTATTAAAGCTAGAAATGAAGCATAAAAGCGTGTTGCTCACATATCTCAAAGACTGGGATGGGTTTTGAAAGGGAAAAATTTTTAAACGAGTTTCTTAGTTATCATAGGGTTAATATATACATATATATATTTTTTGATAATGTAAGAACGTTTTATTATTTGGTTATAACCGTAAGGGCATTCAGAATTTTCTCAAGGGGGAAGACTTCATGAACGCCTATAGATTTCATATTTTTTAGAAATAAATTTATGTTTAAACCTTCTTCTTATATGTATTAGTTTTTGAAAAAAAATCTGTTATCGCTATTTTAAAAATTTTATCCATTTTGTACGAAAGAATTCCTTTGCTTTATATAAGAAAACTTGTATATTTGCCAAGGTGGGAGGAGATTCGACCCATGATCATGCAATGTGTGGCACGTATTTATATTGTATAATATATTTATAGGGTTTGTTACACTAAGACTTCTATAGATAGATAGCCTACTAGTAGTGTTATTCTTATGGTACCGATTTTTAAAAATAACTATCTCAATATTTTAACCATAAAAATATTTTGTAAACCTGGAGATTTCTCTAATAGATGTCCAAATCTTCGTGCCATCTTAAATCTTTAAGTTTGCGTAATATTTTTCTGAATAAAATATTGAGTTAGCCGTTTTAAAAAATAGCCTTAAATCGAGCCGTTTAACAACACTACCTATATTAGTATCAATTAGGGTTATGGTACATGGTTAAATAGTAATATAAATAAAGAGTTGTCTTAATTAAGACTGATTTTTTTTTAAAAATTAATTGACCTTTTATGCATCCGGTGTTGTAAATATCCTTGCTCTCTAGAGAACCTTCATATTCGAATAATGGCTTAAAAATATTATTGTGCAATAATATAAATAATTTAAAAGTGAATAATTAAAATGAAAAGAAGAGAATTTAAAAACAACAGAAATAGTTCCAAGAAAAAATATTTTTTATAAATAAATTTATATTCATAAGTGTGATGACAAGGAAGGAAGGAAGGAAGGAAGGAAGGAAGGAAGGAAGGAAGGAAGGAAGGAAGGAAGGAAGGAAGGAAGGAAGGAAGGAAGGAAGGAAGGAAGGAAGGAAGGAAGGAAGGAAGGAAGGAAGGAAGGAAGGAAGGAAGGAAGGAAGGAAGGAAGGAAGAGGAAACTGTTCTTTCTGCTATAGTTTCTTTTTAAGAAAGAAAAACATAATTTTCAAAAATTTTAATAAAATGAAGTGAGATTGATTTTTCATGTTTACGATAAACCAAATAAAAGAGTATATATATGTCTTAATCGAATAACCTTGATATATATATATATATTAATATTAAACAAATTACATTGTTCGATTTTTCATTCTTGGAATCCTCTACAAGAAAGTCAAATTCACTCCAATCGATCCTCCAACTTTCTTCAAGTGGATTAATATTTGTTGCATATTTCCTTAATTTAAAAAAAAATAAATACCGATTACTAAATTTCTAAACCAAATCGTTATGTCTATCGTTTTTATTTGCTTCTAGGGCAGTATATATGTGGTATTGAGACCACATTAATTACCCAATAAATTTCTAACCCGAATTTGCATGTCTATCGTTTTATTTCGCTTCTACACAATATATATGTCGTATCGGGACGCCATTATTAATTACCAATTAATATATTTCTGACCCAAATATTTATTTCTATCATTTTTTTTTGGTTCTAGTATATGTCGTATTGGGATATGAAATCTATGGGTATTTGGGATGAATCAATTTTAATCATTACGTACGTAACAAAGAGCGATTCTTAGAACTTAAAAATCAGCATGTGTAATAATTACAAATCCTATAAATTTTAGACAATTTAAGCCACAAATTTTTGTGTATTTATATTTTTAATTTAAAGTTTAATATAGCATGATCCCACCACATATTAACAATTGGGGCTAGGTGTCGAGGAGAACTATTTTCTATTATATTTTCTTATTCTCAATCTTCTTTTGTCCTGATTTATCCGGTAAAATCCGAAATTTTCAAAATCAAAAATCGATCTCAGGGAATGATTAAAAAAATTGATAGATCTCAAATTCCATATATCTCAATACGACATATATACAAGTTAAATATAATATTTTTATAAAAAATGGCCATGACATTTTCAAATTATACGATCTTTATAACTTGTAAGCAAAGACTGCTGCGGTAATGGCTAACACTGACAAAACTACGACCATCATAGATAAGATGAGTGTACTATTGGAAGGATTCGGTTTATGTAAGCAGGTAGAATTGGAAACGTAATAAGAACAAAATGGGTAAGGAGCTGGTAGTCCTGCGCCACCTGCGAACCATTTTAAGGATTTGTCAAAATAAAACTCCAACTTCGCTGATGGGTCAGAGCGCAATACAGCCACCTGGGTGTAATTTAACTCGGAAATGTTGGCCATCAGACATTTAATCGTGAAATCCGATATTCTCTCTCCTTCGGGATTGATTCTCACATTTCCGGTAACACCTTTTTTTTTTATAGATAAAAGAAATAGGAGGAATGTGCTATTTAAATTTATGTATAATAATTGTTAAGTTTTGTTAATGTAACTATTATGATTATATATATATCAGAGGCCTGGTCTATCCTGAGGTCTGGATTGGTAATTATTCGGACAGAACCTAATGATTACAAACCCTGGGCAATTTTCAAATATAATGTCCTGCCTAGAAAATTGTGGAAAATACTTCAATCCTGGCCGAGCCTAAAAATAGCCCACCATTTAGGTCTCTAATATAAAATAATTATCTTGAATAATAAATTATATTGGTTGTATATTCCATAAAACGATAATATTAATTAACAATGAGGTTCTTTGATATTTTTAATAGACCCTTACCTTCAAAAGTTGTGTTCCACATTTTTCTAGGAAAATCGGTGAAATCCAAGAGATCATTAGTACTACCGGATTCTAAAATTTGCTTCAGCGATTCAGCGTACATAATCATGCAATCGTGGAAACAGCCAATATTATGGTTTATCTTTTAAATAAGGAATATAATTATATAATATTTAGTTATCAATATTTCTAACGTCACATGTAACGGTTAAATTATTTATCATCAAAAAAAATTATAGTTGATCAAAAATCTTTCTTCTTCCTCAGAAAAAAAAGAAGTATTTTTGCCCCGGATTTTTCGAAATTTTTTTTTTCAAAATCCAATTTTAAAATAAATGGTAGCTAATTTAGAGGTCAGCAATGGGCGAGTTTTTAGCCAAAAATCCCACCCACTCGTTGTTTAAAATTTTTTTAAATCCGCCCCCTCACCCATTTATAATTTTTTTTCAAAAATTTTTACCCGCCCTACCGCCATTTTATCGATTAATTTTGTTTAACCCGCCCGCCCGCCTATTGCTTAAAAATTATTTTAATGGCCGGTTTGGTTCCATATTTGTTTCTTTTAATATATTTTTTAATTAAACATATATAATATTATTTTTAGTAAATTGAAGTCTGTTCTGCTCATTTTGCCCGAAAAATATTAAAAATTTACCCGCCCCATGTCCCCTCATAACTATAGAATTTGATTTAACCCACGCCCTGTCTAATGTTAAAAATATTTTAAAAAACCCGACCACACCCTCCAAAGATATGGGCGAGCGTGGGCGGGCGGGCTAAAAATCTGCCCAATGCATACTCTAGCTTGAATGCACTTCGGTAATGGTGGATATTTTAATTTTTTTACCAAGTTATCGATAAATGATAGCACCGATATCGCATCATTCAATTTCGGATAATAAAAGTTATTTTTAATAATATTAAATATAAAAAAATTAAAAAATTATGAATCTATAAAATAATAAAATTATTTCTAATCTGGTGTAGAATAACCCAATATTAGCATACATAAGAAAAGTTTGAAATAAATTTAGCAAAAATTAAAAATTTTTTAAAATAATTTCTATAATTCAAAATTACGAGACTATAAAATATGTAGCCTAGATATCATAGTTGGGGCGCGGGGAGATTTTTAAAAAACTCTTGGGCTTATAGGTCCAAAAGGTTTGACTTTTTTTCGTTCTATAAAAGCGAAGCACATTTCAAGTAATTCAAACTAATTGATAAAATCGCAAATGGAGTTTCAGATTTTCATTTGTTTATTCACATATACCTTTTTTCCACAATCTTCACTTATTCTAACATTATTTTTAGATCATATTTGTGAATTTTAAATGATTTATTTACTTCTCCTTTAACAAATTCTTCGTTATCTCTTTCACTTAAACATATGCCAACCGGAACTTTAAGGATTTTGAAAAATATAGGCGGTAAAATAAGTGCTCACAAATCAGGGCCCAAAGAATATAATTTTTTAAAACAAAATATTCATATTATAATTTTAAAATATAATCATTCATATTTTTTTCTAACTTCCATTACTATAGAATAGAATGAATTTTTATTGTTTTATACTTTAGTTTGATTGGAATATGGTTATTTATATGCATATAAATTAATCTAGACTTTTACAATAAAAAGAAGAAAAAATTTAAATATTAAAACTTGACGAAAAAAACATTCTTTTGAACAATATACATATAAATTAGTCGTATAGTACGTTTATTAGAACAGGTTCATTAACATTTTAGATTTCCGCTTTCTATAAATCTCAAGAAAAGGGAGTTCTAGTTTCAGCTCCTAAATTTATCCCGGTTCTGATTATTCTTACACCAATCTTTAACTATAATATTGGGATTATTGTTCTATCAAAAGGCCAAAATTTAAATAAATGTTCGTGCGAAACCAGAATACAACACTCAGTTTTTTAGGCATGATATCCCAATTTCCATTGTTTATAATAAAATATAATTAAAAATTCATAAAATTTCTAGCTATTTGGTCATTCAAATTTTATTGGATTTTCTTCATATTTAATGAATATAATATGAATAATTTTGAATTATTCTATCCAACAATTAATTTCATTATTCATGGAATCGTTTAATGTGTCATTCGTATTAATAAGATTCGAATAGAGTATAAATAAAATTATACGAATAACGATATTTTTTTTATGCGCACGCAAGTATGGGCAAGAATGCATAATTTTCTTTATAAATGATAGTTCATATTCTTAAGACTTGAAAGAAGATCAATGATCAATAGTCTTAGAATTATCATACTATTTAATTCAGCAACATTTGACAATCTATTGAAAGAAAGGAGTGCAATATAAGGATGGAAGGGGAAGGGAAGGGAAGGGAAGGGAAGGGAAGGAAGGGAAGGGAAGGGAAGGGGAAGGGAAGGGAAGGGAAGGGAAGGGAAGGGAAGGGAAGGGGAAGGGAAGGGAAGGGAAGGGAAGGGAAGGGAAGGGAAGGGAAGGGAAGGGATAGGGGAGGAGGGAGAGGGAGAGGGAGGAGGGAGAGGGAGAGGGGAGAGGGAGGAGGGAGAGGGAGGAGGGGAGGAGAGGGAGGAGAGGAGAGGAGAGGAGAGGGAGGAGAGGGGAGAGGGAGAGGAGAGGGAGGAGGGAGAGGAGAGGGAGGAGAGGAGAGGAGAGGGAGGGAGGGAGGGAGGAGAGGGAGAGGGAGGGAGGAGGGAGAGGAGAGGAGGAGGAGAGGGGGAGAGGGAGGAGAGGAGAGGAGAGGGAGGAGAGGAGAGGAGAGGAGAGGAGAGTATCATATCATATCATATCTTTTTATTTTTTATAGCTTATATGTCGTATTTGTATATGAAATCCATGGATATTCACAATATCTCAATAATCTCTATCATTTACTAAAAGCTTAAGTGTAATTTTACCGGTAATGCATGCTAGCATATGTAGAGCAATGACATAACCTAGGGTGTCGATTCATTCATAATAATGTTTTTAAAACTTTCATTAAATGTAAATCAGCTGGAGACCATGGGCACGCAATTTTGCCAAACTTCATAGGAACCAGAATATTCTAAATTATTTAAATTTAGTCTGCTAAATACATAATTCCTTATGAGAATAGGGGTGGAATAATTGTGAGGTAGGATGTTATTTTACTTCGCTTACATTAATATTTATTAATTTTTTTACATACATATTCTTTGGATAACCAAAATGGAGTCATAATGCCCCCCTCAGCTTTTTCATTGATATACACCTTTAATGAATGCATCGTCAGTCTGGGTAATATTATGTCATTGATTGTAAAGTAACTACATCGTAAATTTTAAACAAATTTTTTTGCCATTAAATTTTTATGAAATACATATGACATACACAACACACATATGGATATGATAATAAGATAAACCTTGGCCTTATCGTTATACGTTTGGTTGGAATTCGGTTTAGTGAGCATCTTATTCATAAAAGTGTCCCACACTGGGCCAGCTATCCTCGACAAAGTAATAAAAAAGACTGATTTGTAAGCCTCGAAAGCCATCTCATCTAATTCATCACCTTTATAAATGTTGGTTAAAATTTATACACGTCATTTTACAATATAAAAAAATAAAGTATACCTTTATTTTTTTTAAAAATTTCCTTCTATAATCCTTTTTTTAATATAACTTAGTATTTGTAGGCAAAAATATATTGGTTGTTAATTATGCTGATCTGATTTACTTTCCCAAAAGTGTTGTTATTTAATAGGTAATGATATATATAAATGGCATCGGTAAACGTAATAGCAATTTACTAAACAAATCTCTAATTTTAATTAAATTGCAATAACACATATTTTCAATGTCTATGGTGAATCGTAACCTTCTATCCTAACCTTAACCGATGGAGTCAATTTCAGAATAAATGACTGTTTCGAGTTGGGATCAAAATAGTGCCCTCTGCATCTTCAAGCTAAACTATGAGGGAAGGTGTCCTCTCCAAAAAAAAGCTATTCTACCATATTTTCAACTTAAAAATGGCATCCTATATCCTTAAAATTTTTATTATATAATATAACATCATCAATGATAACATATTTTTTTTTATTCGACAAATATAATATAACACAAACCCAGAGATTTTTAGAAAATGATTATAACTCTATAAATACTGTAGAATAGATTTGATTGCATATAGTTATAACTTATACAAAAAGAAATATATAAAATGATTAAACAATTATAAAAATATAAATATGTTATATAGAACAAAACAATCTATGTATGGAAAAATGACAATAAAATAAATGATTATACAAAAATTAAAAAAATACAATATTTGGAAAAATATTCTTAATCCAGCACTCCATTGAATTCCTTCACTCTCATGCAATTTTGAAGGGATCTTCCTCGATCTTTAACCTTGATACAACTTCTCCAATAAATCAAGTCAATTATTTTCTATCAACATTCTACTATTTTCATCCAGGTTATGGCTTCTATCCAAAGAAGAACCTCCCATAGGAATAGGCCTTCGCTTAGGCAGTGATACCATCACACTGCCTTCGCTTAGGCAATGATATCACACTCTCATCTCGAACAAACTATCAGCTCCTTATAGTAGTCAGTCTTGGTCATTATTTCTTAGATTGCCTCTTCTCAAAAAGTCGCTATCTAACCCACCAAGTAATAAATGCGATTATTAATTGATCTTTTCACAGCCAATATTCTATCGACCTTAGAACCAGTATGGCTTTATTTTTATGGCAATAATAGGCCGGGTTGAATGACAATTTACATAGAGCAACGGAGTTCTTAGAAGACTGGAATTACACATTTGTTGACCATTTAGGGGTCTCATCTAATTCTATGGGTGATAGTGGGAATTTAAAAAAACAAATAAATAATCCACATTGTTTCCTACACAATCATTGGTATCTAGATTCCTTATTTTTTTTAAAACACGACCAAAGACTTTACTGTATTGCAGGTTTTCATGTCCACCAACGGATATCAATTAAATTCTGTTTTAGGGGGTATGAAGCCAAAAATATTTGAAAATGCATATGGTAAATACGGGTCATTTTTTGAATACGCTGACAGTTGTAGTAATAACAACTATTTTGTTCTTGTTGTGTGTCTTTAACACATATAAATATATGCAAATAAAAAAAAATTTAAATTATATACAAAAATATTTATCCTATCCACCCATCGCCTCACCTTCGACTCTGTATTTTACAGCTATGGTTTCATACTTGTACTATAATTAATTTGTCAGAAGACAGGGGGGGGGGAGTTGTTTGAATTCCTTGGATATTTCTGGAAAGGGGGGGGGGTCTATTGCATCATAAAACGCGACATACCCTATCCCCATACTCTATTCTAATAGTGTAACTTAATTGAGTGTTTTCAACAACAAAAAAAGCAAACCAGCATATATTTTTATTAAAGTTTTAAAAAAATTCAATTTTCACGATACCATTTGAAATGCCTTGTGTGCATTTTGCATTACGAAACGCAAACGCTCAATTAGGTTGTATACTGTAATGCTATTATTGTTTATACACGGGTGATAGGGTGCTGGATCAAACCAGCATTGTACTGCACTCAGTCAAGTTCTCTACCTATGAACTAGACCTTCCGTTACAAAACAATAATATTTTTTTTATGTAATATACTTTTTTTGAATCATAAGATTAATAGACTAAAAAAATTTTTTTTACCTCTTTTCCAACTATAAGTGGTCTGGCCCTCACTGTAAAACAATTGAATAACTATGAAAGCGTGGGATTTTGTCATGCCCAATGCCAAAGCCGACAATAATATATGTCTGACGTCATAACCGCTCGTAATCAATATCAACACTAATAAATATATCGAAAGATAATTTATCAAAATAACCGATTACATTTTATATAATACTTGCGAATTTATCCACATAAAAATGGAAAGAGAAATTAGTTTATATAATCTCCGCCTGATCTTATATTTTTCACCGATAAAATTTAATTTTTTTTTTAAAAAAAGATAAATATTTATTTTGTGTTAATGTAAAAGTTAAAGTTGGATTTTAATTTCAAATTCTGGGAAATTTTCTTCTTCTCTTCACTATATTAGTTGCCATCAATTTAAAGCCGGATGTTTTAAAATATCCAAATCATTGCCAAATTTTGAGGCTTAAATTCTAATTCTAGATTAAAGATAAACGTAGACTTCAACTATAGTTCTTATTTTGGAGGGAACCGTTGTGGGTTGGTGCGTTGGGGCATGTTTATTTGATTTCATTTATTAAAAATTTTTATGATAAAATGATATTTTAGAGGCAAAAAATATGCCACTTTTTTCAGCCCCACCAGATTCAACGAAACAAAAAGATTGGGATCAAGGATTACTATCTTGTTCCTTAGCTTACCTCAACTTGAGCGATGATCACCAATACAAATCCCTCCTAAGAACACTTAATTTTAACAACTCTGGCCATGAATGGTTGTACTCATATTCCAGCTTTTTAAATAACCAAATAATAGACAACTACTCGTTTCGTTATGCAATCAATTTACGCCTGGGCGTACCTTTCCTAAACCCAATATACTTGCATTAAATGCAATCAATCGGCAGACGCATTGGCGTACGCAACGGGAGGGGGGAAGGGCAGGGGGACAAATCCCCCCCCCCCACAAAGCCAAAATCAGATGCCGGATATATTTTTCAAAAATATTATTGTTTATATTAATTTATATTTGTTAATATTTACTCGTATCACATATATTTTATTACATTTATAATCACATTCATAAGTTATTTAATCAATTAATTTCGATTTCAAGTTTTCCGGGGTAATATTTACTTATTATTTTCAAATTTTTAGTGGCGAAATATTTATCTACCATTTTTTCTAGTCAAATAATAATTATTTCTAAAACTTCTGGTCCAACAGAGAAAAAGAAATTGCAACCTTGTATAACGAGATAGAGCCTCTTCCATCAACCACTAACAGCTATTAAGGAGTTAGAAGAGCCATATTTGCTATTACTGAAATATCACAATGGCCTGAAAGAAATATTTCCTCAGAAGCAAGAAAATTATTGGATTCAATGCTTATTCCAAATTTTATTTCTCATTAGAATGTATTATTTAATTATACAACTATTTTAAGTATAACTTTTCAAAAACATGACATTGATTTGATTAAGAAGATGAGAATAGCGGAGAGCATTTTATCAGAACTCAAGGAAATTAGGGCTAATATTGATGAAGAATTTCATATTTTATATTTTATTGTTGAGTCAAAAGCAGAGCTATACGTGTTTAATATTTGTCTCCCTCGACTTGTAGAAAGGCAAGCTCATCGTTAAGACATTAATATAGGATCAGTGGAAGAGTATATCTTAGATGCAAATATTTATAACCCAAATAAATGAATTTTTAATATACCATGCAGCACTTACATCTGCAAATATTACTTCCACAAAAGCCTTCCCAACCTTTTTCAGATGGTGATAGAAAAAAAAATATTTATTAGATTTTTATTATGAAGATGTTAAAGTATCTTATGATGCCTTACTAGCTGAATAACTATGTTTATAAGATTAACTATAGTTTATATAGTCCCAAAAAATGCTACGGATACTCTGCATTATTTCAAACACATTTTAGATTAAATTCCCAATGTATTAAAAGGGTTTATAAACTCTTCCCATTAGTAAACTAATGAGAGAACACTCTTTTTTAAGAAGAATAACAGAGGCCTGCAGAAGTACCATTTGCAGGGCACGGCCCGGATTTTTAATAATTTTCAGGCCTGGCCCGGCTTTTTTTAAAAAATTTTTTAGGCCGCTCAGCTTTTTTTTTTAAATTTACAGGCTCGGCCCGGCTTTTTTTAAAATAAAATTTTCAGGCCCGGCCTGGATTTTTTAAAAATAAATTATATTTATTTTTGATTTTAATAACTAATAATAACGATTTCAAATATAGGCTGTTTTAAAAAATACAGCCTGGCCTGGGTGTTTTTTAAAAATAATTCAGGCCCGGCTTGGGTGTTTTTTTTAAAATTCAGGCCCGGCCCGGGTGTTTTTTAAAAAAAATTCGGGCCCGGCCCGGATATATTTAAAAAAATTAATATACTGCTTGGCCTAGGGGCCGGCTTGCAGGTCTCTGAAAAACTTACCTAGAAGTACAACATGTGAAAGTAGATTGAAAGGTTTGGATTTTTTGAATAAATAATAGGCATTTAACGACAAGCAAGGATGAGATAATTAAAAATTAGCTCAATTCCAACGAAGATTGGATTTTACATTGTAAATATATAACATACAAAATACAATTATTCCTAAGAAACTTTTTGTGTAAAGGCTCAAAAAATTCAAATTTCTATTTTGGGTCATTTAAATGATTCTTTACATATAATTTTTTTATAATTCATATTAATTTAAAATTGTGTATTAGGAATAGTTATTAGTCCTAATAAATTTATGCTTGATATTTTTAAAAAACAATAATATTTCTCAAAAATTTATTATCCCCCCCCCAGACCAAATTTCTGCGTACGCGCCTGGGCAGACGCGTATCTCCACTGTAAATTTATATCAAAAATCAGCCGACATGATAAAATAAATTCAATAATAGCTTCTTTTTTAAATAAAGCCAATTTTCCTTGTATTTTAGAACCGGCATCTTTTTTAGATAAAAAAACTTCCTGACGGCAAAACAATCGTACCGTTTTTAATGGGAAAGCCCTTAATATGAGATTTTATATGCATTAATCCCATGGCCCTATCTAATAATTTGCATGATCCTCTTGATAGATCTGAATCTCTAAAAAATCAAAAATACTGGCACCTAATGTGTGACAACCACTTTGTTCCAATAGCTACACCAACCTGCTCTTTTGGACAAGCGGCATTAAATCTCTTTAAAATAATATTCAAATCAATCAAAAAATCATACTTTTCTCCATTTTATAAACTCAAGCAGAAAATCGCCGTCTCTGCCCGACTTAGCCACTTGATTTTTTTTTAACTTGAACTTATATGACATATTTTACTATATTCTTTATATTATACCATCCATGTTAATTTTTATTTTATCATATTTTTATATGAATTTTAATAAAAAATACAGATAATTAATAAAATAAATATATAAACAAAAAAAAATTTTAAATAATAAAATATAAGTTCTAATACCATAATAATTATTTCAGTAAATATATTTAAAACTAATTGAACTAGTGTGTAAAACAAATAATTTAAGTAAAATTTTAAAAAGTGGAAAAAACGTTTGTGTTTTTTTCGTTTATTTTTTCCCCCAAATGAGGGTTTTTACATTTGTAGGTAGGAAATCTAATGGTTTAAAAAGTCCCATACGTTGACTAACACCAAGGTTGGGGCTTGTTGCGCAATGATGTTTTCAGAAATTGATAATATTTTTTATAAGTTATAGACGATTTTAAAAATTAATTGCTTTTTCTAACCCTCTTCCATATTGTTAACATAACATATTATTTTATTTGGGGGAGGGGGTTAAGGGAAAGTTGATGGGGGGGGGGTGGTATTTAGCTTAAACTGATATCTACAAAAACTTTCAAATTTTTCAAGGGGGGGGGATTAATCTTTGGCAATGCTTATATCTTCTATCATTATGCTTTGTAAAAATTATATAAGATTTTTATTTCAATGTCACCGTTAGTTTTGTGTCTAAATTTAGCCAAATCCAACTTTTGCTCTCCGGATATGTTGTTTATACCATCCATGTAATTTGAGGGATTGTATTCTTGGTCTATGGTATTCATAATCGCGTTCCCCTTGTTGTTAATGACGTACCCATAAAAGTCCCAAAAATATTTGTCACTCTTAACCATTTCGTAGAGGTTAGTGGCCATCTGATGTGTCTTGAAATGACCTATGTCGTATATCATCAAAGCTATCCTCTGTTTCATGTATTTTAATAACATTACGGTCATCTCTGACATTCTATCTATATCTGAGGAGAGCACAGTCAAACTTGTATAAATTCTATAACAATTTAATAATATAATATGTACATATCACCTTAAACTAATTGTCATTCCTTGTAAATTTCAAATCCTAGAGAGTTTTCCCTTTGTCTCCATATTAAATTACATTGAACCTCATAGTTAATGATTACCGAGAAAACAAAATTTTATAATCATTAAATGCTGCAACTTAAATATGGGTTATATCTTGGGTTTTAATTAATCAAAAAAATATACATAATTAAACGCAACCATCTATTGCCATTATGTGATTAAGCTGTGACAGTCAGAGGTAACAGGCACCCCTATTATATCTTGAATGTGGCTCAATTATTGGGTAGAGGCTAAATAATTTTTTTTGTTTTTTTGGTGGTAAGGTTGGGGGGGGGGGGGTTCCCAAAATATTTACCTTACGCCTCTGCACCTGATGATCCAATTAATTCATAAAATAAAATACTCGTCATGATGAATAGTTTAAATACTTTTTATTTTATATCATATATCTGTATCTTTTTTAGTTTTTTATTTATATGTGCCTAAAGTGTCAATCTTTTTTTAAAAAAGAAATCGGTCTCATTCTTATAAACCATTTTCTGATTTAATTCGCTTTAAAGGGATTTCCTATGTATGAAAATATATGAATAATTACTGATGATCAGGACTATCTGTGACAATAGTATTCCCATCTTTATCTTGGTTGTATTTCATCACTTCCTCAACCCAAAAATACCCCGTGCATAGAGGAATATCGTAAAATGCCGCATACGAAGCTAGGACCATTAAAGACCTTTCACAAGGTGGTCCCATAATTATGGGTATCGTTATATTTATCAGGCCATTATAATTTAATGCCGATTTACTAATGTTGTAGATAGATTTATTTGTTTCTTGGCTTTGAACTCTAATTTGGTCTAGAAATCCGCTTCCTGCTTGGATTAATTTGCCTATAATAAAACCGGGATTACATTTACTACTGCTTATCTTAGGCTGGATTATAGGAACTGGCTGAATATTTACGAATTTGAATCCAGATAATATATTTAACATTTGCTCCATGCCTATTTTGAAAGCCCGTTCTATTCTTGTGTCATTAAATGGAGTCACACTTTTTGTTATCACATAATAATATATAGGCAAGTTGATGTTTACCCTCGTGGGAATGCTATTATTCTGAATATCAAAGTATAAGTCTTTGATGTCAGAAGGATCTTTGTTTAACGAGTTAGAATCCTTAACTTGAAGCCCTAGAAATAGAATGCACATAATGAATACTAGATGATTATTATTCATAGTATTTTTATATAAGCGTATATATTTTTGGAAATTTTTAGCTGATTTATGGGGAAAAATTTTTTTTATAAATAATTTATATCGATACAAGTCCAACTATAAAAAATAATTGTAAAAAACTAACCTATTTAAAGTAAACATATTTTTTATTATTATATTGAGCATTTTTAAATGGTTTCTAAATGCAATTATTTTGTTCTTACACAAATAAGATTCAAAGTCAATCTTTAATTAATTCGGAACAACTTTTTTTTTAGCATCTCTATAAATAGAATAGAATAATTAAGTATAATAAAAATTGCTTAAAAATATTTAATTTCGTTTTTGCTCTCAGAGATTCAATTTATTCTCTGTTCCTTTTCTTTTGGTTGCAAACGGTGTATACATAGCATTTATTATTATATATATAATAAATTATAAAATATTATTTATCGCATTTACAAAGGACGGCTAATAAATTCTTTTTGAAAGTTATAAAAAAAAAATTAAATATTAAATATTAAAATAGCATAACTGTAAAAGCTAGTTTGCTAGAAAATATTAATAATTTTTTTTTATTACTAATATAAAATGCGCATTAATTGCGAAAATTAGGAAACAATTAATTAATTATTTTGGTATATTATTAATATACAAAGGTTAATATTAATGCACCTATTTTAAGGATTAAATAATTATTGTGATATTTATAGTCAACAATTTTTTAAACACGATATTCGCGTTATTTCACTAATCGTTTTCCGATTTAATTACATATTTTATCAATCCAAAATACTTCTGCTAGCTAGTTGACTTCTTATATTATATGTTTCAGTAAGTTTTAGAGTTATATATAACTTTTCCAGTAGGTGATATTGCATCCAATGTAATGTTGGCTTATTTACCTCCCACAGTGGGCTTCTAAAGACTTGGCACATTATTTAGAACCTTTTGCTTTTAGGAATCTGTAATAGTAATTCTTTCTTCTGTTCTCTTAATATCAAGGAGACTAACCCTGGATTAAAGCCCTACTAGGCTTATAGTAGGGGAGACTGGGGTTAGGTAAACCGTGGGGCTTGGCAAACCATTTAATATTATTTTAAAATTATAAACACTAGAAGGTTAAAGTTTTATCCTAATATAGATTTTATTAGTTTACATCTATAGACAAAAAATCTTTTGAAATGATTAATTATTAAAAATTTTATTTAAGAAATAAAATTTTGATGAAATTTTCTAAAGATTTTTACATGACAGAATCTTTCCTACGATGATTTTCTCCAACAATTTCTTATATAAGGTCGTAGATAATGTTCTCTCCATTCACGGAAAATATCGTCCCTTTTCAATTCTCCCAAAAAAAAGACATCTTGTCCAATTAAAATGTCGATTTCTAAAATATAATAATCTACACTCTTCAAAGATGATATAATATTATGCCAACATATTCGAAATAATCAATTATCGCTCTTCCAACTACATATCAACATTCGCTGAAAGCACTATCGAGGGAGGCTTGTCCTATCAAAACTTTCTTTTTCAAATAGTAGAAACGCTTAACTTCTTTTGTGTAACGAATAGTTCTAAGACAACCTTAAGATTTCCCTATTTTGCGGCCGTAGAAAAATTCCCTTAAGTTTGAATTCTTTTTACATTACCACACCCTAAAGATTTCCCCGACAAAGTTTAATTTTTTTTTTTTGCATTTCTTGGTTTACCAGTATTTTCGATTATTTTATTTTTTTATTTGCCATTGCATCTAATTTATTATTATTTTAAATTTACCAACCCTCCTAATTTCGATTGTTCATAATCTTTCTTTTTTCTTTCAATTTTTGATTTTTTTCTTTCCCCCTTTTTTCTTGTTTATACCCCCCCCCCCCTTTTTTTTTTTGTTCGTAATAATACTTTTTATACTTTTTGTACCTAGTCTTATTTTATAAATATTATTGTTTATTTATATTTTTTTTCAAATTTACCAACCCCTCTAATCTCGATAATACTTCTGAAAGGATAGATCAGGTATTCCTCTCTTCCCAATTTTGATTTTTTTTTTCCCCATTTAATCTTTTTTTTTTCTTCCAATCAAAATTATATCCGTTAATATATATTTTTTTTTTTTGTGTTTTCTCCCTTTCAAAGCCATCTCATGGTTAACTCTTGTTGTCAAGTATGCTTAAAAATAGTTTCGCTTAATTTAAATGGCGTGTTTAGGAAACATGGTTCACCCGCGTGCCACAATTCTGGAAAATTTCCCCTCTCTTACGGCCCAGATCCTTTAATTAACGCTCCTCACTCGTATGACCCCATTCCACCATGTTCCTCAAGCTCTGTTGATTTATTCCTTAATTCGCATAAGCCCCCAGTTCTTTCTAGGATCCCTATAGCCGCCCGAGAGTCTACCTCTAGGTTCCTCATGTCACTTATAAATAATTTGAATTCGGATTTCTCCTCACTACCCTTATGGTTAGACCTGGTTAGTTTTTGTTTTCGAGTCCTAGTTAAACCCAAAAATAAAATAAATAACTTATCTGCCTTAATTAAGGAAAAAGTTTCCAATTTTGAAAATACAATTATCGATGAATTTTCTCCTTCGTACGCTTTAAACCCCAACTCCTTCCGTCACAAATTGATCTCCGAAAAATTAGATCTTGGAGATATTAGCGGTGCGGCCCGAATATTGTCCTCCGATGACTCTATTTCTCCTATCAACGTTACCATATTTAAACAACTTCTTGAAAAACATCCACGAGCGTCCCCTTTTAACATCCACCCGCATGCCTCCTCCCCTATTCCCTTTACCTGTGACGAAGTACTTAAGTGCTTAAAGTCCTTTAAAAAAGGGACGACAGGGGGGTTGGACGGCTTCAGACCTGGTTTCTTTGTGGAGTTAATTCAATGCCCTGATAGTGGCTTCATTGACCCTTTGTTGAAAGCATTAACCGAACTGTGCAATAATATCCTCGTACGCAAAGTTCCCCTTTGCATTCGTCCTATTATTTTTGGCGCCCGTCTTGTCTCCTTGACCAAACCGGATGGCGGCGTTAGACCCATAGCCATAGGGTCATTCTTTCGTCGCTTAGTCGCCATGGCTATCGTAAATAGGATTCGGCCTAAGGCTAGTTCCTTCTTATTTCCTTCACAGTTAGGATTTGGAGTGAGAGGTGGGTGTGAAGTGGCCTCACATGTTGCGCGTATTTTTATAAATACTGAGGCCGATAAGGTTTTCTGCAAGTTAGACTTCAGAAATGCCTTCAACACCATCCATAGGAGGGCATTCTTACCATCTTTTTTACACCATTTCCCAAAATATGGGAATTTCCTTAATTCCTGTTATGGATTCCCTTCGTTACTCAAATTCGGGGAATTTTCCATCTCCTCCGAAGAGGGGATACAGCAAGGTGATCCTCTAGGCCCCCTGCTCTTTACTATAGGGATTCATGATTTGATCAAAAATTTAAAGACTAATTTCCAATTAGACCTTAATTTATGGTATCTCGACGATGGCTCTTTTGGCGGTTCTTTATCCAATGTTATGTCGGCCATAGAGTACGTTGAAATGGAAGCTTCGAAAATTGGTCTTTCCCTAAATAGGAAAAAGTGTGAAATTTCCTCCCTCAACAATAAGGATTTTATTCCTCCCTTAGATTTTACAATCATTCCGCATGAGGAACTCTGTCTTTTAGGTTCCCCTATTGGTTTTTCAATCTCCTTTTGTCAAAAAACTTTTGAGGATTTGATCCATTCCCTTTCCAATTCACTCAAGAATCTTCCTCATCTCCCCAAACATCAGTTCTTCTTTCTCACCAAAAAATGTCTTTTTCTACCTAAATTCTTACATTTATTTAAATCTTCCCCCGTTTTCCAGTACAATACTCTCCTTAAGGTCTTCGAATTAAAATTTAAACATTTTATCGAATCCCTTTTAGGCTTAAATTTTTCCGATTTCAATTGGTCCCTCGCCTCTATGCCCGCTTACCAGGGTGGACTGGGATTGTTACCCCCCTTCCTTATGGCAATTGCGTGTTTTCTTTCATCTCGAATATCCTTCGCCGATTCTATTTCCTCGCTTATCGAGTTGGACGATCCCCTTCTATCTTCAGCTAAACAAGAGTGGCTTACTCTAATCACCCAAGGCTCCGAGCAGCCAATTTCCTGCCATCTAAAGAGCTTCCTGGTCCCTATGCTTCAATGCTCGTTTGAAAAACTTTGTATGTATCCTGAGCTAACTAACCTTCAACTGCTCAGAAACGCAAAAAAAAACTCTAACGGCCATGAATGGCTAGACGCGATTCCGAGTGGTAAAAAGGAAACGTTACTCACAGACGATGAGTTTCAAACTGCCATTGGCCATAGGCTTGGTTGCCTTATCTCTTCTGTGGACACCTGTGCCGCCTGTCACAAACAGGTTGATCCTTTCTCTAGACATTGTTTCTCGTGCCTCAAAGTCAGTGGCCGTTTCCTGAGGCACGACAACCTTAATAGGTTAATCGGCAAAGCCTTGATTTCGGCCGGTTTCCCCAATAGCTTGGAGCCATTGGGGCTCCTAAATGCTGACGGTAAGCGCCCTGACGGCATGTCTTTAACGTCTTGGCACGGCGGCAAAAGACTTGTCTGGGACGTCTCTTGTGTTACCTCCTTTCCGGCTAACGGAAATACCGACCTCTTGGAACTACAAGAAACCAATAAGTTTAATAAATATAGATTCCTCCCTAACTCTTTTATATTTATTCCCCTAATTTTTAGCGTCCTTGGAAACCCCGGTCCCCAATCCCTAAAGTTCTTAAATCAATTGGGTAGAAGAATTTCGTTAAGGACAGGGGTCAAAAACGAGTCCCTATCTTTTAAACAAAAAGTCCAATTTGAAATCCTAAAGGGGAACTACAAATGTTTCTTCGAAACACTCCCATTTCCCTCCTAGTTTATCAAATATAGTCATTGTTAATTTTATATATATTTTGCATCGCAACTATATTTAGATTTTAACCACAAAAAAAATTTTTTTTCGTTATAATTAAACA